TGGTCCCTTGTATCGAGCTGACAAAATAAGAATCATTTGTTTCGCTGGTTGGCAATCAATTTATGAATTTCTTTGCTTTTCGATCGGGACGGCTTCATTAACTTCGATAACATCAATTTCGATTGATCGATTCTTAATAGTCGCTTATCCGATCAGATATCGTACTTTGATGAAGGGAAAAACTCTTATAATATGGCTCGCAACAATATGGTTAGTAAGTACAATCCCTGTTGCTGTAGAAGTGTTTTATTCTCGTACAAGAACAAATAGATCTACCGTCCATACTTTGATCATGATTGTGGCTACATTGCCCGCTTTTATGTATGCTTCCACGTATTACAAATTGAAGAAACAATCAAGAAGCATAGCTCTACACAATTCTACTGAAAGGCGTGCACAGAAACTAAGAGTTATAAAAGAGAAGCGATTTTTAAAGACAATCAGTTTGATAGCGTGCTTGGCTTTTGTTTGCACCGTGCCAACCTCATTAATTTTCCAACTTTATGATCATGCCTTTACTGTGGGATCAATCAACGATATCCTACAACCAATTTCTATAGCACTTTTTTACATCAACTTTGCTGTTAACCCATTGATTTATTTGGTACGTTTTCCAAACTATCGGAAAACATTTTACCTGCTTTTCTGCAAAAGAGGCCGATCTTGACTTATTAAAACAATTGAAATAAAACTTTATTTTATACAATGCTTTTTGGAAGATAATAAAGACAAGACGATTATGAAAGTTATTATATTTTGTTACAAATATCTGAAACGTAGGGTACTAATGCATGAAGGTACATTCTAGTCGGAAATGTACCTGAAAACAAAAAAAAACTTCGTCAACTTTACATCCCATACTACTTTATTCTATACCTAGAAAAGCCTCTAGCTAAAAGGGGCGAGGTTATAATGTGCTACAAACGAGTGACAGGTAACACTACTGCCATGTATTAGGTTATAGAAGTATTCTTTTCATCAATATTAATGTAGTTTGTGTTTAAGTAATATGTGCCAGAAAAGTCTTGTGTCACTATTTTAAATTAAAATCTTTTCCACCGAAATGAAATATTTAGATTTCAAAGCGATGCGACAAATTAATTATTTAAAATAAAATATAATGACGGCACCAAATTACATTTTATCGCAACCGAAAAAAACTCAAAAGGGCTTTGCGGTATGACAAGAATAGTCTTCATTTAATATTCCAGCCATAAAATCTAGTCCGGCGTGGGTCAGAATTTTTTTGCGGACAAAAATATGGCAGAGAACAGCTCAACTACATCTGCAGTCGTCTTTGAATTGGAATACCACAATATTCCTGTTTTTGTAGCGGTTATTTTAGGAGCAGCTTCAAATATGATACTACTTGTTGCTTTTATTAAAGACCCTCTGAAATGTTTCAGAAATTCAGCGACGTACCTCGTAATGAACGTTGCAATTTCTGATTGTCTGACGTGTATATTTGCTGCGTTATATTTATCAATACCTTTCTGGAATTCGGTCATTGGGTTTTTACTGGAAATATTCTCCATAGCCTCGCTTTTTTCGATACCATCAATATCTGTCGATCGCTTTTTGATGGTGGCTTATCCGTTGAAACATCGCATTTTGATGAATGGAAAAGTCATATTCTCATGTCTGACGATTACTTGGCTAGTCAGTTCTATCATTGCTGTGTCAAGCCCACAAAATATCTTTGCTCGTTACCAAATACAGTACATATTTTTCAATGTTCTCATCATATTTTCTGCAGTTATGTACGTTTTTACGGGTCTCGAATTGAAAAAACAGTCAAGGAACATTGCTCTCCAAACTCAACAGAAGGCCGTGCACATGCATGCAAGAAATAAAAATGCGTAGAGAAAAACAATTTTTAAATACAATTATGGTTATAGCTTGCGTTGCTTTAGGTTCCATTGTGCCAACCGTGGTATTTTATTAATGGCATCAGGCTACCAAACCAAATTATTTTGGTTTGCACCCTCACTCTCCAGCTCTGAAGATATTACATGGAACATTTCATTTGATATTTTACACAAATTTTGCTGTAAATCCGTTGATTTATATTGTGCGTTTGCCAAGGTATCAGAAAACGTTTCGTTTGCTTTATTTCTGCAGAAGACGATCCTGACTTTTACAAGCAATAAGCATTTAGACACCATGCATTGATGACTGAACGAACTAGGAAACGAACTAACAAAGGTTCACACAGAAACAGTTAAAAGAGCGCTTAATGTAAATGTATGCAATTTCAACTTCGCGTGAGGGCAGTGAGGTCATATTTAAAGGTAGCATTGTTAACTTTCATCACTAAACACGTATGTCTCTGAACACGTTTAGGATCGGATCACGCCTTCGTGCATGTAAACTGCAGCAGATAAAATTGACATCCAGCCACCACATGTAACTAATAATGACTCCGGGTTAAGACAAAACGTGTACTCTGGACTTGAAGATATTCCACATCCGTTCACGTTTTTGCGGGAGAGTAATGCTATAGTGCATGGTAAAAGTTGTAAAAATATATTTTCAAAGTTTGGATTGAGCAGTGTACCACACGCTTAGCTGTAATAATGTTAAATTTCGTACACAAGAGAAGTAATATGCTTGAAAACTTCGCTCATCTTGGAGTTTTTAAGCGGAAATCGTAAACGGAAATCTTTGGTCATGTAGTGTATCTCTCGTGTATTCGAGAAGTGAGTAGCGTAAAATAAGACCAGAATATATGTATAGTTTTAGTAGTTTCATAACAAACAATTTACAAAATGGACGTTCCCCTCAAGACCCTTCCTGCGCCTGCGTATGTCCTTGATCTCCACAAAGTACTTCATGCAATCAATATATAACAACAGCCCCCTCTTTATGAGTGTCTATGCACCGTGGGCTTTTAACCACAACATTTTACATAATATAAAATTTATTTACTATTCAGTAAACCTTTTAGGAGGTTTACGTTCACGTAAAGGATACCGTCTCGCAGACTCGCTTGGTGTAACCATAATTGGTGTGTCCGCTTTACTACAAAGTTCTTTAGTGTCCACATCCTCTCTTTTTGTAGTGGATTGGGTGGAAATGTCAAACTCTTTTGGCACTGTAGTTGGACTTGCCGGTACACTATCCTCCTCCGGTGCAAGAATTGTACCTCTTTCGTTTGTGCCTGTATTCTCTCCTGGGAGACGATTCTGTTCATCTCGTTCGTATTTCGCTTGTTCCGCGTTTTCGAAACTCGGTATCTGTCGTGGACGTAGTTGCTCTTCATGTCGTTTCCACACTACATCACTTACTTGTACGTCGTAATTTCTAGGACTGATTATCCTAATTACAACTCCCGGAATCCATCGTGGTCCTTTTCCAAAATTTCGTGCAAATACCGCCTGACTCAGACTGTACTTTGGTTTATTGTCTGGATTATCTTGAAAAATCTTGACTTCATTTCCGGATTTCTTTGCTCTCAGTGCACTTAATCTGATCTGTGGTTGTCTGTTCATTAGCAACTCTGATGGTGACTTCCCTAACTCCGTAGGGGTAGCTCTGTAAGTCAGCAAAAATCGGTCTAGTTTGGTCTGCAGCGGCTCTTCTGCGTCCCCCATTTTTTTCAGTTTATCTTTGAAATTACCAACATACCTTTCTGCTAGTCCATTTGTTGCAGGATGCCCTGGAGCGGTAGTAGTATGTTGTATATCGTTATCGTTAAGAAATTTCTGGAACTCTTCGCTAGTAAATTGGCTGCCATTGTCTGACACGACGTGTTCAGGTAATCCAAAATTGCTGAACAAGTGTCGCAACGCTGCTATAGTGGTAGTCGAAGTAGCATTAGTCATTGGAACAATCTCCAGGTACTTTGAATAGGCGTCGACTACGACTAAGAACATTTTTCCTAGGAAAGGACCGGCGAAGTCTACATGGATACGTTTCCAAGGGCCTCCATGCCAAGACCACGACGCTTGTTGAGCTGAATTTGGTGATTTGGCTGTCTCTTGGCAAGACGCACAAGACTTAACCGTTTCTTCGATTTCCTTGTCGAGTTTAGGCCACCATAAGTATTTACGGGCCAGCTGTTTCATCTTTACTATTCCGAAATGTTCGGCATGTAGATCTTTCAGTAGAATATCGCGCAATGATTCCGGAATTATAACTCGAGTGTCCCATAACAAAATTCCATCTTCGTGTGATAATTCCAGTCTCCTAGTATAGTAAGGTTGTAATTCCAGTTGTGGCTTTTCTGGCCAACCGTTCTTCGTAAAATCTAACACTTTACTTAATATTGGATCTTTCTTAGTTTCTGTCGCAACCATCTTAGAGTTTACGATTTGTTCACCTTTAATAAACATGACCTTTACTTCAACCTGTTCTGCTGCCGTTGGTTGTAAGTCAATAGGTTTCCTTGAAAGGAAATCTGCATAGACGTTTTCCTTTCCAGAAATAAACTCAATTGTATAGTTGTAAGCTGCTAGAAGAAGAGACCATCTTTTGATTCGCGCGGAAGCTAATTGTGGAACTGTCTTATGTTCCCCCAGTAAAGTGATTAATGGTTTATGGTCCGTCAGGAGTTTAAAGTGCCTGCCCAGTAGGTATTGTCGAAATTTTGTAACTCCAAATACGATGGCTAACGATTCACGTTCAATTTGCGCATAATTTCTCTCCGCTGAGTTTAATGTCCTAGAAGCGTATGCTACTGGTTGCAATGATCCATCGTGTCCAGGCTGCAGTAGTACCGCACCTACTCCTATAGAAGATTCATCACACTGGAGCACCAGCTTCGCAGTTGGGTCATAATGCCTTAATATCGAATCAGAACACAATGCTGCCTTAATGGTTGTAAACGCTTCCTGTTCAGTTTTACTCCAATTCCATGGAGTTCCTTTCCGAAGTAATCTGTACAAAGGTGCCATGATTTCTGCAAATCCACCCACAAACTTACGCAGGAAATTAGCTGTACCAATAAACGACTGTAATTCAGACACATTCTCAGGGGGTGCTGCGTCCTTGATGGCTTGCACCTTTTCCTCTGTCGGTGAAATACCTGCTTCAGAGATTGACATTCCCAAATAAATTACTTCACCAAGCATGAAATGGAATTTCTCACGCTTAAGTTTAAGTCCGCTTTCTAGTAATCTTTGCAGAACTCTATGCAAGTTCGCTAAATGGATCTCATCGGTTTCACCAGTAACCAAAATATCATCAATCCGAACACAACATCCTGGAAGACCTTTGAGTACATTTTCTATAGTGCGTTGGAAAATGGACACAGCGCTGTTTACTCCATAAACTAAGCGTTTGTACTGGTATAAACCATGATGTGTATTTATTGTTGTGTATTTCCTACTCTCAGGGTTAAGTTCTAACTGATGGTAAGCCTGGGAGAGATCGAGTTTCGTAAATTTCTTTCCCCCTGAAAGGTTACTTAATAACTCTTCAAACGTAGGTACTGGATATTGTTCTAATGTAGCTGCCTTGTTAATTGTACCTGAATAATCTCCACAGATCCTTACCTTTCCATCAGGCTTTATCACGGGAACTGTTGGTGAAGCCCACTCTGAGTGTTCTACCCTTTCAATAATATCATCCTGGACTAGTTTCTCTAAAGCCTCTTCATATTTTCCCCGAATTGCAAAAGGTACGACTCGAGGCTTCATAAACACTGGGTTGTCGTCTTTAACTCTTAACGATACTTGCACCCCTTTCAGTTTGCCTACTTCACTTTCATCAAATAGTTCCGGGTACCGTTGCATGATATCCTCTGCGGTGGTAGGAAGAACACTAAAAATGTTATGCCATGGTAATCTAAACTTGGTCATAATATCACGCCCCAGTAAGGATGGTCCTGCCACGACTCGAATTTTTATACTGCTAACTTGATCTCCTACTTTGACATTCATATTTTCTTCCCCATAACACTTTATTTCATTTATAACTTTAAGTACCACCAAGGCTGGTTTCAACACATGGGTTTTACCACCGATTCTTTCAAAATCTTTAGAATTTAACAATGTTACTGAACTTCCAGTGTCAATTTCCATACAGACCTCTTGACCATTAATATCCACTCCCAATTTGTATTGTGGCGAAACTTCGGATTTCTGGCCCACAGAATTTACATTCTGCATAAATATAGTCATTGGTGTACCATTAACAGAATCTAAATCACTGTCGCTTTCCCCTGATTCCTCTGTGGGTGTAGCTACCACATTATGTGTTTTGGCATCCACTCTCTTTTTCTTGAAGCATACTTTCGCTAGGTGCCCTGTTTTTTTACAAAAGTTACATGTTGTATAGGTATGGCTACACTTCTCAGCCAAATGCTGTGAAGATCCACATCTGAAACAAGTTTTGCCTTGCTCCAGAGTTTTTTCACCGTTGCCCTTAAATGAATTTTTCTTTTTGTTTATACCATGAACTTGTTGGGTATCAGCTCTTTCCGCATTTAGTAATTGCTTCGATTCTTTCTCTGCTAACTCATCTGCTTGAGCAACCTTTACTGCCTGATCAAAGGTCAGAAAGAAGTTTCTTCCTTGTACTTTGACTGCGAACACCTCCCACAAATTGATCTCGAAGTGCCCTGGTAAGGTAGGTGCCAAAATTACAATGAATAGCTAAACGTTTCAGTTTGTTTGCATATTCCGCTACACTCTCATTTTCCGTTTGTTTAGCCTGATGAAATCGATACGTCTCCGCCACTTCGAGTACTTTCGGTTTATAAAACCCCTTGAGTATTGTGATAATTTCTTCGTACGACTTTTCGGCTGGTAAATCAGGAAGGCATAGATCTTTCAGTGTACTGTATGTACTTTTCCCGATGACGGAGATGGTTACGGCAACTTTCCTTTTGTCTGCAGCTTGTCTTGCATCTTCATTTGCATCAGTGGCGACCTGGCCAATATTATTTGCAATAAAATATGCATTCAATCGCTCACTGTAATCTATAAAATCCACGCCATCGAACGGTTCTAAAACGCCGAATACCGTATTATTTTGTTTGGCCATGTAATTTTAATCCTCGTCGCCAATTTGTAGTGTATCTCTCGTGTATCCGAGAAGTGAGTAGCGTAAAATAAGACCAGAATATATGTATAGTTTTAGTAGTTTCATAACAAACAATTTACAAAATGGACGTTCCCCTCAAGACCCTTCCTGCGCCTGCGTATGTCCTGATCTCCACGAAGTACTTCATAAATCAATATATAACAGGTCACTTTTTTTATACTATTATAATAGGGCGTCGTATTGAATATTGGCGTGAGTTTTAATACATTTTCACAGCGCAATGCCGGATTTCTTCATTATCAGAAAGTTTTAAAGCTTTTCCAATAATGATTAGGCATTGAATGAACTTTAGTGATGGAGGATAGATACATTGACAGAATTATTAGAAGTTACAAAAACAGAACTAAGTGTTCCCGAAATGGAATCGCAAGCCATTTAAAAATGTATTGAGTGACTAGTGGATCTATATTTTCAATAACGCATGTTTTTAAGATAACAAATGAAAATTTTATTAAATTTCCTCTGAATACTTACTGTAAATGTCTGTTTTAAAGCTAGATTAAATTTACAATTGGCTATACTCGATAATTGTGTGGATATGAAAATTAATAATGGCTATAATAAATACTGACATCAGTGACATGCAATGGCATATAATCTCGTTTACGCTACAATCAATTTTTTGGCAAGGCACGGCTAAATGGACACGCGTACCCAACTTTATTAGTGCTCAAACTAACAATACAGAGGCTGAGCACGGATAAAATATGCACGGGTTTTCCGATAAATTAAGTGTAGGATAAACGGGGCTATATTTCTAATATTTCAATAAGCGATTAGAATAATAATAGAATATTATTAATAATAATAAAAACATGGACTTGTATTATAAGCATCGAGGACTTTTGCTATCACTTTCGTAACACTCATTTGACTTTTCTATCAGACATTTTCTACAAAATTTCTACCGCGGCTGTCCCAATTGTCCGGGTTTGATAAAATAAAAACTTTTTAACCAGTGAAGCCATATTACACTGAAATAAATTTTATTAGATAGAGGAAACATACAAGAAAGAACATACGTCATCTCTTCTTGTCTCTATGTATATATAATACGATAGCAAGTTTGTAAATAGTTTATTCTGGTTTCACAATGACTTTGAAATAAAGTCGAAATATCACCTTAAAACTTTTGTCTTGTTGTCTATAGCTCATATCTTGAGTTTACAAGATGTCATTTTTTGGAGTATGTTTTTTCTTGTATTTTATCAAATTGACTGCTGGTAATGGTTTTTAGAGCGAACATTGTCTTAGCTTTTGTATATTACAATATATTTTACCTAGTAAAATTTAACGTAGATGTGAGCCTATTTTTTGATGCTTCAAAAAATCGCAGCATAGCAGTAAGAATAGGTCTTTCCTGAGAGTTGTTTCATTGCGGTAACTTTGGTAGTTTAGAAGCTATGTTGAATCAAATCGGAGTGCTTTCTTTAGGACACCCGGTGGATCAATATTTACCAAACCGCGTAGTAATTGTGAAGACAAATCGTTAAACAAAAGGGCTTAACAGTAAAATATGAAATCGAACGAAGATGAATTCCCCTCA